GTCTCGTCCATCTCCTTCCGTTGTTTTTCCTTTTTATTTAAAAAAGAAAAAACAAAATTAAAATTAACAGTCACAAGTGCGTGTCTATATAAACCAAGGTCGCCGCTACGTAACGACCATCTCCATTACAGATAAACCTCAGATTCCTTAGATTCTTTCTCTCAAACATGAAACTAGTGGAGAAGACGGAGGACAAGTTTACGACTACGGAGGAGGAGGAGGACGGACAAATTGCCTGCCGTACGATCGATGTTGCGACTGTTGACAGAGACGACTTTCCGGCACCAGAAGGTGAACCTGATGCGTTTCGTGTGGTCTCCGGCGATGAACTTAACCTAATTCCGCCGCTCAATTTCTCTATGGTCGATAATGGTATTTTCCGGTCTGGATTCCCTGATTCCGGTAACTTCTCCTTTCTCCAGACTCTCGGACTTCGCTCAATCATGTAAAATTTCTCCTACATTTGTGTAAATTCTCTGACATTTTTGTGTTTATCAACATTCGAATCGCTGATTTTAGGTTTTCCGTTTTGTTTTTTTTTTGGGTATTTCGAAATTTGTGAAGATATTTGTGCCCGGAACCCTACCCGGAGAGTAATATCCAGTTCCTCAAATCTAATGGAATCAAGCTTTTCCAGTTTGGCATTGAAGGCAATAAGGTGCGTATCGTTCTCTTCTTCTCGCCATTTTTTTTGTTCTGTTTTTCTCTCTGGAGTGTTCTGTAATTTTCTGGAATGTTATGTGTAGACCTAATTCATTAGGGGGAATTCTCTGAATTGCAAAATCATATCTCTTTGGAATATTTGAAAAATTGCAGTGTGTTCCTGAATTAGACAACGAGATTTGGTTGCATTTATGGAGTTCTAAGCATCACAAAGAGGGTCCATTAACAAATGGACTTTCCAAAAATTTGGTATTAAATTGTTTTAACTTAACTTGATAATAATAGTACTACTATTTGTGCAATATGGTCAATGATCTTCTTCAAATTTGGGGTTTTTAACTGCTTTCATAATTTGCCTAATTGTTCTTAAAATCCTGACTCATCATTGTATTTACTTGAGAGATTACTAAAAACTGTGTTTGCTTGCTCTCTCTTGAATTTGATCCTTCATGGGCACTTTTTGTTCCAAGCTATATTTTTTTATTGATGAGTTACTAGAAAAAACAAACATCTTTCTTTATTGTTGCCTCTTTGGCTCTTTCCGTCTCTTCTTGAGTCTTGACCTCCACTGATTTGGTCCCACTCTCTTCTTGCCCTTTCAAAAACTATTACAACTTGGTCCTTATAGTAGTGTCCATATATATATAATTAGATAATGGGCTACGTCAAATTGTTTTGCTGAGCTGCTTGTTTGCAAGTGTTGTCAACGATCCACTAAGCTTAACTTTCTGTGTGTTTCTGTTGATATTGTTTTCTTGGTTCATGTTAATTACGTATGCACTTTTTATAATCGGATATGATATCTTATGAAATCATACATCAGCAAAAAGCGTTTCTTGAAGTTAGTAGAACACCTCAAACCTTTTTTCAATGGTGAAAACTTGTAGAAAGCGTGTTGACGGTGAAAGTATCCATATTAGGTGTAAGATATTAAAAACCTAGATAAGGTTAGGAGTTTCTGGGAAAGTGATAGATGGTTAACTTATATAAGTCGGTTACTTTTGTGTAATACCTACCTTTAGTTCCTTGTCCCTTTTTCATGTTTTAGTGGCTCATGTTTGGGGAAACGTTGGTAAGTAATGGGATGACCAAAATCTTCACCATAAAGTCTTGAGCTTAATAACCTCATGAGTTATGAAGGTGTGTATAGTCCCAAAGTTTTCAATCCCACTAATAAGAAGCCAAAACATTTCACTTTGCTGAAGAGATTGGTATGGACGTAATTGAGTTGATCTAGAATCTTGATAACTTTAAAGAGGGGCAGAAAGTAAAAATATACTTCGATTCTATTCCTATAATAGTCTCATGTATCTTCTAGTGAGGTTCTTTATGTGGGGAGTCGTTTAGATACGTACAACCATGGTGTCCTTTTTAAACTAAAAAAGAAAACTCTAAAGTAGCTTTCTCTCCTTCGGGTGGAGTGGTTTTATTGGAAGGATTTTGGAAATTATTTGACTTTCACATCGTTGGATCTCATTGACTTTGGTTTTTAATCTATTTCTCGAGTCAGATTTTTTATGCTTGGTGTGACAAGTTTGATCTTGATAGGAAACCCTTTATGGTTGATATTCTTAGCTTGCGAAGCTTTTTTCCTTCTCATGGATTCGTTTTTCAATGGACCTTTGTGTTGATTCCGTGTTGTTGTTGTGTGCGTGGGGATAACTTTTTAAATATGAAAAAGAAAGATTTCTTTCTTTCTTTCAGTACGCAACCAGTAAAAAGTATCACATTTGACATGCTTTCATAACTTGTATACTTTGTCCTGTTTAAGAATCTTTATATGGTTGTTCTCTCTCTCAAGTCTCAACGTTGTTTGTGTATGAACCTTGCTTAGTAGATTGCCTAATCTACTCAATTTAGTAGCGTGATCGATCTTTTGCCATTAAAAAAAATCTTGTAATCTAAGAAAGACATCTTTTTCTTTTCTTATTTTCAGGAGCCATTTGTGAATATTCCAGACCATAAAATCCGCAAAGCACTCAAAGTCCTTCTAGGTACGTATGAATCATATAAACCTTTACACAAGAAAACACACTTGGATGCTTTCTAATTCTGACCAGTGTCTTATCAAAATCTCCCAGATGAGAAAAACCATCCGGTTCTGATTCATTGTAAGCGAGGCAAGGTAAATCTTTCTCTCCAATCCTCAACATTGTTCTTTAATCTGTTAGCTCCAACATTGAAATGTTTGAGTATGAATCTGGAATTTGCAGCATAGGACTGGTTGTCTTGTTGGATGCTTGAGAAAACTCCAGAAATGGTGTTTGACATCGATATTTGATGAGTACCAGCGATTCGCAGCAGCCAAAGCTAGAGTTTCAGATCAAAGATTCATGGAGATATTCGATGTTTCCAGTTTCAGTCATATTCCTATGACTTTCTCTTGTTCCAACAGATAGATAAACAGAAAACCTGAGTTCTTCTCTCAACTTAAAAGAAGAAAGCCAAAGAAAAAGGAGAGATTATTCTAATCATATTACAGAGTTCCAGATGAATCATTCTTCTATTTCTTCCCTTCTCTGGAATCAATAATATAATATTTCGAGAAAGAAAAAAAGTAAAGGTCAAATTTTCTTTATGATAATCATTTTACCATTTCTTCCTGCTCAGTGTAACCATTTAGGTAGATAAACACTTAATACTAATACGTTATATACGGAATTATATATGAGGTTGTTTATAATGTAGCTTTCTTGGGTAACGATTATTACTTGCTTAATGTATTTCATTTTTCAGAATATCATAACCTTTCCTTGTGTTATTATTATTCATTTGTTCAAGCCCACAACAACGCATGCAATATGCTAACTAACTCCTACCGCCAAATCATTTAACTTTATATTTTGTATATCGTTTCTCGGAATAAACTTGAAAAATACATGCTAGATATATGCTGGGGGACTTGTTAGGTCACGGATATGAAACATTTCCATTGGAGAGTATCCTTGCTAACTAGTTCGAGTTGTTCATATATATGCTATAAATTCACTTGATCTTTTTTTAACCACCACCCATATACTAAAAAGAAACCTAGAAGTTGGTCACAAAAGCCTACGAAAAAAAAAAAAAAATCTAAGCATGACGCTGATTCTTCAACTACACGCAAGGCGCATTCTTGCTTACAGTAACAAGAGTTATTCTTTGTTCCGTTCCTACGGAACCATTAGGTCACCCGAGGCGAACCAAACTCTGCAGAATCGGATCAAAGCGGCTTTGAGTAACAATGCACAAATCATTCCCGTTCTCGATCAATGGCAGCAAGAAGGGTATCAAGTGAAGCCGTCCGACATCAGAGGACTCATCAAGAATCTTCTTGATTCTAACCGAATTTCGCAAGCACTAGAGGTTTTTAAAAAAAATATTGATCTCCAAAAAATGGCGTAGTGCTCTTCTCAAACATTTCATTAAGTTTTATCAGTTTCCAACTTAAAACCAATTGAAAACATAAAATAAATGGATTTAACTCACATGAGTTATATATATATATTTATAAAAAAAAAAAGTTAGATGTGAGATTTCTAACGTATTGCGCGGCTTTTGGTTGTGTTATTATTATTAGGCATCACAATGGATGGGTGAAGAGAAGGTTTGTAATATTTGTCCGAAAGATTACGCAGCTCGGCTTCATCTAACTGAGAAAGTGTTAAGGCTTAGAAGAAGCAGAGAAGTTCTTCGAAAGCATCCCTGAGAACCTGAGGGGTTACTCGGTCTACTCAACGCTCTTGACCTCTTACACAAGATCTGAAAAAACACTTGATAAAGCCGAGTCAACTTTCAAGAAGATGCGAGAACTCGGTTTCCTCTTCAAACCTTCACCGTACAACTCGATGCTATCTCTCTACATTCAGCTAGAAAAACTCAATATGGTCGATAAGCTTCTGAATGAGATGGAAGAGAACAAAGTAAAACCAGACAATCTCACGGCAAACAATGTTCTAAGGGCGGTGGAGTTGTGTTTGAAAAAGTCGAATAATGATAAACAAGTATTCGAACTGGAGAGGGACACGGTCAATGCAATGACAAAGGCATATGCTAGAGCTTGGTCAGAAGTAAAGGCTACGTGTAAGAAGGTGATGTTGCTCTGGGCGACTTTGATCCTTCTTATTTCATTGTTCCTCCGTTTCCTATACCGCCTTTGATGATTGTTCCTCTGGTTCTTATACCGTTTTTGATGTTTTACTAGTTGTTTTGAGTGTTATAACAACTGTTACTAGCTTGATCGTAATTTTTTTTTAACATTTAAAAAGAATAGTTTATTTGTATTCATTATGCAGACAACAAATATTAAGTCCCATATATAAAGCATATATTATTAAACATACAATACAACAACACATTACCACATAAACAAAATTATTCGTATACTAAATAATCAAGTTTCTAGAGAACGATATAAAGACTATATATTTATTATATAACAAGGCATTTAATTTAGGCAGTGGCCAATGGTCCGACTTTGTTGGCCACGGTTGTCTCCATAGCTTTCATGGCTTCAAACCTTGGTTCCTTGGCCTGAAACTTGACAGCAGAATAGAGTTTCATGTAATCCTCGAACACGAATTTCGGATAATTCTCTTTCTTCTCCTTCTCCGATTCTTTTCCGATCAACTCCGGGGCCGGAAAAATAACAGAGTCACTTCCCGGATTGTAGAATGATGCAAGCGACATTCTTCCTTCTCCATCAGTTTGAGATATCACTCTATGTTCCACACTCTTGTACTTCCCATTGGTTATCACCTGGTTTTATAATCCAATTTAAATATTTAGCTAGTACATATTTGTAACGTTGCAAATTTCGAAAACCATATGAAAAACTCGAGCCTTTTGACTCATAATCTCTTCTAGTGTCCGGAGCCAACCGTTATTAAGTTCATTTCTAAGGCTTAAATTACTTCTGTAAGAATATTTGAATTAGTGACTTAGAGTACACTCAAAAACCACTAGGCCAAGATCGGCTTGATTTGGTTAAGTAGTTGCATTTTGCACATACCTCAAGTTGATCGCCGAGATTAACGACGATTGAATGCTTAACCGGAGGAACATCGACCCATTCGCCATCCTTAAGGAGCTGAAGTCCACTCACTTTGTCGTCCTGGAAGAGGAGGATGATTCCACCGGCGTCGGTATGAGCCCGGAGTCCCTTGATCAGGTCCGGTTTAGGACAAGGTGGATAATTGCTCACTTTGGTTCCAAAAGTCGGGCTTTTCGACCCGTAAAACACTTTTTTCAAGTAACCTTTCTCCAATCCAAGATTCTCGCAAAGCAGATCCAATAGCTCCTCCGATAACTTCTCGATCTCTCTAGCGAACTCCTTCATCAACGTCCTGTTAAAAACCGTTCCTCGTTACGGTGTCGGTTTACTCATTACTTGAACCAAAAGAAGAAAACCGGACCGGTTTTAGAAACTTTAAAAGTTACCTGTAATCGTCTTCAAGATCAGGAACATCGGAGATATTGGAGACAGGAAGGTGCTTAAGGTAGAAAGTAGACTCCCAGTCAACGTCGTTGACTTCAGACCGAACAGAGTCAAGTCCTCTGTTCTTAATGGATTCTTTAAATCTTTCTTCCATACACTTCTTGTAATGTTCTTTCGTCATCTTCTCCACTTTGTCAAGTAGCTCGTGTGAAATCCCATGGTTCACACACTGTAAGTAAATTACATACCAAAAATATTAAACTCAAGAAACACCTTTTAATTCGATGATAATCTTTGAGCTTTATGGTTATAGAGAAAATACCTCAAAGAATCCCCAGTTTTCACAAGCGTCTTTGATCTTCTCCATGGTGATTCCTCTCTCTTCTCCATTAAGCTTCTTGAGATTGATGATTGGGAAACTCTCCATCTCTCTCTTAACTTTTTTTGGGTTTCTGTGTTAGTGTTTTAAGGCCTAACTTTGTGTTGACGCTTCTGAAGTGTGTGATCTAAATCTGAAGACCAGAGTAATGGTTTTATAGAGAGAAAGAGAGAGGAGCTTTGAGTTACTTACACGAGTCATTCATTCTACAGTAATTATTTGGTTTTTGGACCCCACACCATGATAGCAAGCAATTACTATTTGTTTTAAAAATTGTTAAAAGTATTTCGATGGACCAAAAAGCCTGATATAAATATTTTGTTGTTAAACATAATCACTATTTATCAACATTAATTCTAGCAAGTTGTACTGGAAAAAATTCGAAACATATTGGTTTATAAAAAGATATATAAGAAATATTTGAGAGTGACGTAGATTAGTCCATACTTGCTCTTGCTCTTGCTCAGTCTTTGTGGTAGCAGTAGCACGAATCATTGTTTGACCCGTTTTTTCTTCCTTTTACTTTTAGTGTAAGATTAATCTTCTTTTTCCTTCATAAACTAATTTATATATCGCCTTTATTTGAACATAATCTTGTTCCTACGTAACACAGTTTTTTTTTTTTATCATCTGATAATATATATTTACGAATAAGGGAAGGATTAACATCCAGTTCATATACAAGGGAGAAATTAGGCTAACAATTCCACCACAATGTTAATCTGAGAAACAAAGAAACCCCTTCCAAAAATCATGGATCACCTAGGATCGGAAAACATCTTTCTCACAATCAAAGAGCTCATTTAACCAAGCCGGTTGACCACGAGCAACATATGATTGGATGCGATTATCCAGAGTGACACTCTGAACAATTATTAGCCATTTTACCCTCAAAAACCATTTTCCAAACTGATATCTTGTCCAGAACCACAGTTATACAAACATTAACTACGAAATTTATAAGGAAAGTTTTTAGTTCAGTTAAAACTTAAAAAAAAAAATTATAACCTACAAAATCTACACTATTAATGCTATAATTTTTTTTGTATTGATGATATTAATGGACCAATGGGCTTTCTCTGTGTCCATTAAGAAGCTGCCAGGTCGTCGGCCTCCTCGGGTAAAAACATCTCTGTATGCATGTCTCTATATTAACTATCCTGAGCCCATAACTTTTGACCGTTAAGATCAAATCAACCCATCAAATAAATAGTCTCAAATCAGCATAGTTCAGATTTGACCACGTAGTTCACTTTTGGCCACAAGGATTTTGATAAGATATTTTTTTCCTTTTTTCTCTCGTAGTGGATTTTGCTAAATTAATGTTCCTTGATACTTATAAAGTATCATAAGCTTAGAGAGGATTAAAAATAAATCAAAAATGAATTATTTGGTCTGAACCGTCTCATTGTGTAGAGATTTCTGAGACGATTTTTCGTGTCATGTGTCCACTTCTAATTGAGCCGCTCTTTTTTTTGGGGCAAAATGAAAAAAAAAAATTATTCTCAGATATCTCTTCTTCGAGAGACAAAAATAGCGATTCTAATTCCTCTCTTGATCGTCGTCGGAATCGATTGTCGCCGGCGATTTCCCTCTCGTCTCTGTCTTGTTCCTCAACGATTCTCTTCGGAGATGATTTTATTCGTTTTCGGAGCCGGAATCACGAATCGATAACACCGAAATTCGATCGGAAAACTCATCGGAGCTGACTTTCTTCCTAAGCTGCATGGAAACGGAAACAGAAACGTGGAAGCGAACTTTAGGAAACGCGGAAACGATTTTTCTTTAAAAAAGAGAAAACGGAAACGTTTTGAAAACGTGTATATATATATCATGAAACCAAAATTATCAATAGTTTTAAAATATTTGAAACAACACAAATCTAATCCGACTCGAACAAAAAAGCACTTCGTTTTTGTATACGACTTCACAATTTCAATAATCAATAACAAATCTACTGTAATTGAAAAAAATACCTTGTTTATCTCTTCGACTCTTCTACGTTTTTAGGTTACAGTGACGATTAGAGAAAAATAATGTATTAGTGTTTAATAATTAGGTTTTAAAACTTATTAAAAATATCAAACAAATCCCTATATTTTCAAAATATTTATTTAATTTGCTTCAAAAACCAAAATTAATTTAAAAAAATAAATAAATCAAAATTCACGTTTCCGGCCGCGTTTCAAACTGTGGAAACACGATTCCAAAACGTTTCCAAATCAGGATATTTAGGAAACGCGTTTCCATCGCGTTTCCTCGCGTTTCCGTTTCCGAAACGTTTCCGTTTCCGAAACGTTTCCGAAATGGAAACGCCACTTTTTCACGTTTCCATGCAGCTTTCTTCGTTTTCGGAGCCGGAATCGATTCATCTTTGGTTCGGTTGCTGAAATCGCTTGAGAGAGACAGAGAGCTTTTTTATTTGCTTCTTCTCCGATGGAGTCGGCTCGAGAGGTAAGCGATGGTGGAATCACCGTCGAGGGTTTCTCTTTTGTTTTGGTTTATAGATGATCTTTTTGAATTAATACAAAATATAGAGTTTATGGATTTATAGTATTGAAGAACGATTGGCTAGATTATCGATTCATTTTGAAGGTTTTAGAGATTTGAAATCTATGGGGACTGGGTAGATGAGAATATGTCCGAGGAGGAGGAATCTTATGATTGGAGTTCGATGCATAGGGTTCTAAGCTTGTTTAGAGATCTATGTTTCGATGAGAATGAGCTATGTGAATTAGTCATGAGATGCCCAAGACTTGTTTTTGAGGATTCAGGGGAATGGACATTGCTTCTAGCTGGGTGTCAAACGAAGTTTGGGTCATCTAGAAGTGAAATGTGGTCGTTTTTCTATAAGTTCTCGGAAATTCAGGTAAAGAGATGTGTTTTGAATATAAGGCATTGCTTCTTGTTTCTGGACCAAATCAAGATGGAGTGTGATGAGATCAGTAAGATTTTTCGTTCTCACTCCTCTTGGCTTGGTGCTTGTCCTTTGAAGAAAACCAAAACCTTACTTTGTCACAATGAACTTGTAAATTATCTTTGTTGTCAATTAGGTGGACAACCTCTTTCTTTGGATGTCATCACAGTAGACATTTATAACACGAGGTATCTGAACCACCAATACTACAATGTTTGTTTATGTATCTTATGGTTGTGTGGTATTATTCAATCTCTATGCAACAATCAATTGCAGAGCATCCGTATTTAAACAGGCCATAGTTCAAGCTACATCCTTTTGGGACTGAGGAACGGGCAGGTGGTTCGTCTTAGGATTCCTCTTGAGATGCTGATTTAGCCCTCTTCTATGTAGGATGAGTCAATGGCTTTAAACCCTCAGGAACAACTTGTTATGATACACATTTCTGAATGATTTGTCTCATTGTGTTCAATTGCTATGCAAAGTTTTGTATAAGTGAGTGTCTTTGTTTTGATTATGCCTTGGGGAAGATATTGCATCCTTTAGTTTTTTAACAACATTTTACTTTTTTTTTACAATGAAAAAGATGCACAAATGTGTCTTTATCATATTTCTTGGCAGTCCAAGTTTAGATTTTGTTGTGATCTCGATGAAAATTGCACCAAAGAGTTAATTGATTTGTTAAATGGAAATCATTGTAATATACGTTTTAAATTTAATGCAACCTATTATACTACTCTTTTTTATATATTTGTTTTTGTCGTTATATAACATTCCATATTTATATATATTAATTATAATTTCATTCATTTTACAAATATTTTAAAAGATTTAAAATAATTTTTTTTTCTTTAGAGTCCCATTTGAATTTCATCATTGGACACATAAATATTAACAGAAACTAATTGAATCTCAAACACTAAATTAATATTATATTTAATACTAAAGTATGATTTAAGAACCTTTAAGAATATCACCAATAAACATGCTGCTGATACTTTCCTTACTATTTGGAGAAAGGTGATCAACTTTATTTGTTTGCTCAACGTTTAT